GTGCGCGCGGCAGATTGTGCGGCGAAGTTTGTGACGATTTGTACGACTGCGGCGCCAATTTTCGGAGCACAAACTCGAAGTAGTGTAGTTTACTAGGGTCAGATGATCCTCCTAAACCACTCTATTTTAAATTTGGGCCCCAATGATAGACGCCAAAGTCGTTCAAATCATTACGAACTTCGCCGCACAACTTGCCGCGCGCATCCTCGGACGCACGTTCGTACACATACCCCACGCAAACAGCTGATTTAGACTACAGTCTTGAACCTGGCAACTTGCCAACCAGTTTATCGATCTTTCACCGACTTCGCTCCAATGCGAAAGTGGTAAACGGTAATTAGATTCCGTAGTCAGCCTAGCGAGGGGCGGAGGGCGACCGTGGATAACTCTCCGACCCTTTATTGTGCCCTATCCAGACCATTTTCCGACCTCATTCCTGCACAAATGGTAACAGAGGGGGCGTCGAATTCAAACCATGTTCAAACCTACGAAACCATTTTTTCGTGAACAGTGCCTTTAAGCCCCTTTATGGATTGCTTTAGTACTCTGCTCGGAAGGAACGCTTGAAGGAAATATCTCTTTTTTCTCATGTTTTTTTGAGGTTACTGATGAGGCTCCTTTTCCTTTTCTTCCTTTTTTTCCTAAGTCCTTTATTGCGGATATTTCTTTGCTAGTTTCTTGCCCCTCTTCTGTCAATAAGGCTGAATGAGTTCATCATGAAATCTTATATGAACCGAATTTTCTAAATGGCTCTTTTGTTTTCCCATTTCGCCATGCTTCCAGGCTTCGTTTTTCTGCCATATGAATGTTCTCATTGATTGTTACTCTGAGTAACTAGGTAAGAAAAGGGGAGGGATATAGTCAATCCAAAGATTCAAAAGGGGAAGTATCAAAATCTTCTCATCCTTATACTAATTCTGAAAGAGTTCAGTTTTGTAGCTGAACGAGCAAGTTCAGTTTCGACAAGGGTTTGGTTCTCCGCTAATGCAACAGTCTTGGTAACAAACAGATAAATCGATCACGGGTATTGAAGTGTTAATCGAACAGTGGGATCGGGATAAATGAAGTTCTGCCACCCGCTGCACAGCCATGTAGCAATCATAGAAACGTTTCCTATGAAGGATGACGCAGTTTTCTTGCCTAACAATAAGCCTTCAAGGAGCAGAGCACCAGTTACTGAGTGGTCATTTTAGATAGCTATCCCACCCACTCCGAAACTTTTTATCTCCTCAGGCCTACGACAAGAAAACAATTCTGTCTCGGATAATGTTGTGTCCTTGTCGGTCGGGAACAGCAGGGAGCTCTTTTAGAAGCCATGTGTAATGAATGTACAACAAAATAACAGTTCATAAGTTCCAGTCCAGTCCAGATCTCCTGGTCACACCGGGCAGATCACTATTATACTAGATCAGTTACTCTATTACTATGAGATCACAAATGCCTGCACCAACACCTCCCCCCTAAGATTGACCGTCCTGGTACGACTTGGCGTACTGGTCAATCTGGAGGAAGTCTGGAGGGCATCGAATACGGGTTGAACAACACTGCAGGGGGGCGCTGATGGTGCAATCGTCGTCGTCATTGTCATCGTCGTTGTTGTGAGGGCGACTGTTGTGCCCATTGGAGACGACTGTAGTGAGGATGACGTCTTTGAAGACGAACCTGGTGATGAATTGAAGGCATTCCGGAGGCGTCTGTCAGATCGATTGTTTCTCCTAGTGAGACATGTGGGCGGAGCTGATTGACGTGACGCTTCCAGATGAATCCTTGAACTGACACGTCGTATAGTGTACGACCATGTCGTCGCAGATCGTGTCAGGGAGACCACTATTAGGTTGTCCGGTGCGGAAGTCGCGAGCGAAAACAAGACCATCTGGTTTGAACTTCTTTGACTTGGCACCATGTCGTCGATTAAAGGGCATCTTCACAGCGATATATTGCCTAGCTTTTGGAGCGTGGCTAGGTTCCAGCAAGTGAAGCGTTCTGCGGGGGCGTCGACTGATGAAGCTTTCTGCAGGAGATAGCCTATTGGATGATGCGGTGCACGGCGTGTTCCAATAGGTGAAGAGGAACGTGTGTAGAGCGTCCATGGCCGGTCCTTTGCTCTTAATCTTTCCGAATGAGCATTTAATTGCGTAGATGAAGCGTTCAGCTTGCCCATTCGACTGGGGATGAAACCGCGGCGACCGCACGTGCTTGATTCCACTGTTTCGGCAAAAATCCTGGAGCTCAGCGCAGGTGAATTGAGTTGGGTTATCTTACGTTTGAGGAAGTCCGAATTGCGCGAATAAACGTCGGAGTTCCCTTAGCGTTGCAGTAGAGGAGGTGGAAGTCATTGGTATGGTTTCCGGCCATTTGGAGAAAGCGTCTCCGATCACTGGGTAAGAAATTCCCTCAACTGGGCTGGAGAAATCAATATGGATTCAGCTCTATGGCGCATCCGAGCGAAACCACAAACGGAGTGTGTTCTTGAAAGGCGGTTCCCTGGCAGGCAGCGCAGGTGCGATGGAGCTTCTCCATTCATTCCGGGATATCATTCGATTCATAACAGTTGGCTGGAGTGCTATGATGCTGCTCCCGAAGAGTATGCATCATTGTTGCATTGAGAGATCGTTGCGCAGGTGGGCGTGATTGGCAACGATTGGTGATAGCTTCTTCGCCCATTTGTTGTGGACCACATGGCCCGGACCCGACGTAGACAGTCGTCCTCAGCGGAGGCACGTGTTACGCCTTTGGCAGTGACCGGTAGATGGTTGACATTGTCGCGTAAGATGGCGTTGACGTCCCTAGTGATTTTGACGATTATGAAACTTTTTCCACTCTAAGTCCGACTGGGCAGAAATGACGCGAGAGAGCGCGTCGGCTTGTCCGAAGCTGTAGTGCTCCGCTACCCGAGTCAAAATCGTGGACGCGCAGTATGAGTCTCCAGCGTTGTAGGCGGTTCGCCGAGTATGTTGGGACTCCTTTCTTCGACCCGAAAATTGTAAAAAGCGACTTTTGGTTCTTGAGAAGGACGAACTGCCGTCCGTAGATGTAGCGATGAAACTTGCGGACAGCGTAGATGAGTGCTAACCATTCCTTTTCTATTTATCCGTAGTTCTTCTCCGTGGCGCTAAGAGAGTGGCTAGCGTGGTAGATGGTTTTCTTTGAAGCAGCCGGGTAACGATGGGGGATGACTGCTCCTAATCCATAGTCTGAAGCGTCCATCGCGACGACGATTGGTAGGTTTGGGTTGTGGTGAGTCAGAAGCAGCTCTGAAGCGAGCACTTTTTTGGCGTGTCTAAAAGCGGCGTCGCATTCGGGATTCCAGTTGAACGGAGTGTCCTCTTCGCGAGGTGCGTCGAGCGGTGCACGGAGCTGCGTGGTGCGTCGAGCGGTGCACGGAGCATTTCTGGAAAAACGCTCCATAGTAGTTGAGGAGATTGAGGAATGACCTGGGCGATATCCTTCGGTTTTGGTGTTTGAGTGGGATCTTCTTGGGATCGAGTCGGCAAACGGCAGCGGTGATGTTTCCGAGGTAGGTGAGCTGGGTCATCACGAAGTGGCACTTATCGGTACGAACGCGAAAGCCGTATGCGTCGTCGTCGAGGTAGGCAGCAACGCCGTTGAACCCAGAGATCATGAAGTCGATAATCTGCTGGAAAATGCCAGGAGTTGATTTGACTCCAAACGGCAAGCGATTGTAGCGGGAGAGTCCTCGATGCGTGTTGATTGTGAGAAGCTCCTCGGAATCGTCGTCGACCTGTAGGAGGGTTCGGCGAAGTCGATCTGGGAGAGGATGGTTGCTCCATTGAGCTTGGTGAAGATGTCCTCTGCGGTGGGCAGTGGGTGCAGGTGAAACAGTAGTGCGTCGTTTAGTCCTGTCGAGAAGTCGGCGCGAAATCGGATGGATCCATTGGCCTTTCTCACAACGACAGCTAGCGCGGCCCATTGCGAATGGTCGACGGCGGAGATGACGTTCTGCGCCACGAGACGGTCGATCTCGGCGTCGAGAAGCGGTATAGAGTCGTAGGAAACTGGCCTCTTTCTGATGAAAACCGGATGAGCATCGCACTTGAAGTAGAGCTTCGCCTTGGTTTTGGTACAGCGCGAAGTTCCGGTTTGAAGACTTCTGTGAAGTGGTGCTTCAACTTGGCGATCGTCTTGTCTCGGATTCTGTCGTAGTCACCTTTTGGGTGTTGAATTTCTCCAGAACTGAGTTAGAGTCTGAGATTTGCATGTAATACCAGGAAGGTCTTTGTCGTCGGAAACGTAGCAGGCGCCTTTTCCAGCATGAGCCTTTCCTTGGTTGTCCATTACAACGAAATCAAAGTCAAATATTTCGTGAATTGACAATAGTAGACCATTGGCTCCTTTGAAGACCTCAGAGATCTTCTGTAGAGGCGGACTTCCGAGTTGCATCCAGGTTGAACGAGAGATGACGGTGACGTCGGCGTCGGTGCCCAACTGGAGGCCGGTGGGATGTCCATCAATGTGAACTTCCAGGTATTAGGTTGAGTCATAAGTCTTCGGACAATGTGATAGTGACGACTTCTAAAGATCCTAACTCGGGAAAGAATTGGCAAATATAGACGCGCGAGGCATCGTTAGATAGGGTATTGAAAGCTCTTTTGAATACACATCAACGAATACACTTAACTGCTTTCTTTCCTTAACCATGCCCCGTGATTTCATGCCGTCGCAGCCCCACCTCCGCAACATCATCCTATTTCTTTTTTTATCTGGAAAGAACCGCGGACGATTGACGAAGGAAGTTTACAAGGGAGATGCCCATGCTAGAAGCATAATCTACAAGTGGCACTCGAAGTTCGCGTCAGGCGACTATTTCAGCGGAGATGAAGACCGTCCGGGACGCTGAATTTAGTTAATTTTGGGCGTGCTGCGGAACCAGGTGGAAGTCGATCCGTGTCAAAATACTCGTGAACTGGCAGTCACTTCAGTCCACAGTTCATCGTTGATTTAGGTCAATCGGCAAGTTCCGAAAGCTCGGTCAATGAGTGCCTCATGCCTTGAAGCAGCAGACATGGACCATCGTGCCGACATGGCACTACAATCCCCACGGTCCGCACCCACACGTGGCTCGAGCAACTAGTCGCCGGGGATGAAGGGAGGCTCTTCTACTCTAACGTTCACCGGCGTGCTCGATGAGTTGATAAAGGTGCGGATGCAGAAGACCTCACTGAACCCAACGGACACGCCAAAAAGGTTATACTCTGCATCTGTTAGAGCGTTTACGGTGTCGAATATTGGGAGCTGCTAGTCGAAGGATGATCAGTGACCGCAGACGTCTACATTAAGCAACCGAGGAGTTCGAAGGCGAATCTCGAAGCAACAGCGTCCACAGTAGCAAAACGTTTACTTCTATAACACCATCTTCCCCAGACTTGGCTTCCTCGGATAACCACCTTTTTTCCTATCTCGAACGTTATATTGGTGGTCAAGACTTTTTAACTCGCGACGACATCGAAATGGCACTTGAGCAGTTCTTCAAGGAACGGCCCTCTGCGTTCCGGAGCAAGAGCATCTACAATCTGCCCATGCGTTGACAGAAAACCATCGATGCCAATGGGGCATATTTCGAATGAATCGCAATTGTCTTAAAATTTGTAAGATAAATAGAATCATTGTCAACTTTTCTGAGGACTTATGTTTCAATCTAATACTTTTTAACATCTCCCGAGCTGTCGATGGCTCATTGATACCATGTGTACGTTAGTGATTGCTTGGTGCGACGTCGTGATGCAGTGCTTGTTTCCTGAGCGGCACCGGTAGCGTTGCGGTTTTGAGGGCAGTTCTTCTTCCAATGTTACTATTGGCAGATAGGACACGGTGATGGCGGAAGTCGAGACTTGGTTGCGGTAGGAAGAAGTTGTTTCCTCCTTTTATGGACGGTGCGAATTTCCGGTAAGGTGACGGCTTCGACGATTTTGGAGTCGCCTTTGACCGACTTCCAGGCGTGATACTCCTTGGCTAGATCATCGACAGTAGTCTTACCATCCTCGTCTAGCTTGTGAAGGGAGCGAACGGTAGTCGGCCAGCTCCGGGGCCTGTAAGGCGAACACGAGGGCTAGGCATTCTTGCATATCCTGCCTGATGCCCTTGAAGTACGCTTCCAGAGCGCGAGCCTTGAGTGAGTTGACGTTGTCAATGTCTTCGTCGGGCGAGAAGTCCCTCCGGAAACATTCGGAACGTCGACCAAAGATGCTCTTCTTGATGCAGAATAGCGTCTTCAGCGTTTCAACAGTGTTCGTCCAGGTCAAGTCTTGGCTTGGCTGCATGGCTTGGCTCTTTGGGCAGTATGTGGGGAGCGGAGCGAGTGTGGCTTGCAGCATTAGGGCAGAGACGAACAAGCGCGTCTTCTTCGCCCGAACAGAACTAACTTTTAGATTGATAGGGCAGAGTATCATTTGAGAATCAGTGTAGCAAATATTGATGTTTCCCTCTTATTATCGAGTTGGGATGTGTGATCGTCACCAACGCGATAAGTAAAAGCTATGCTCTCATGGGCCCTACCTCTGCATCCTACGTCGTGTAGCTCGTACATGTGTGGGGGTTTCGTGGTGCACGGGAAGCTGAAATAGGACCCGAGGTGGAGATGCAGAGTTCAGGATCCACCGGACGATCAATATTCCGAGTTTTGCTTCCCGGTTACTTTCAATCTCGCTGTTCCCCTGCCTCTTCAGCAACTGCGCCGACTGTTGTATTTATTGAGTAGAACAGTACTCGCCGCAAGAACTCGGAAATTCACGCGAATACCGCGAAATCGCGTATTTTTCTTCTTTTCTCAGACAGCAACCAACTTCTACGGTACATAATGTGCCCCAGCTCAAGATTCGAGTACACGAAACACTCCTAATGATTTCCAAGGCTGCTAAAATTATGCGCTACTACCATTATGTTTTACTCTCTCCGAATGGTGCTA